GCAGTGTAGAACTACCACATTCAGCTCTAGATAAACACACACAGCATGCGTGACATGTTGTTGAGCCTGCGAGTCACGATTTTCCAGTAGTGATTATTTTGAGTGGGGAATAATTAGACTAAATGAGTGGCTGTCAAACAGCAAGGCACATGGGTCTTACAAAATAAAACACAGCTGAGTTCACTGCCTCCTAAAAAGACTGCCTCCGCTGCTGCATGGAAGCTCATTTAGCACAAAACCAATCAGACTGAAGAAAGAATGCATTTGAATCTGTCCTTAGAGGGAGGTCAGTCAGAGGACAGATGCTTCATTTATTGCAGAATACAGACAAAAGAAAAAATAAGAATCCCAACAAGTGCATTAAGCCATCAAGCTAAATACTAAGTTTAAATAAAAGAGAAATCAAAAGAAAATGATCAACACTTCAAACTTCAACGCAGCTAACGGTAATGAACCGGACATCAGAGCAGGAACCACTCAAGAAGAAGTCAGTCCAGGCTGAGAGCAAACACTCCCGTCTACACTCCAACGACTACTTTCATTATTGGTAATTATTTTTTCAATTTGCCTGATCAATTATTTAGACTGGAAAAGGTCAGAATATATCAAACAGCATCCATCTCCTTCAGATCTTTCCCAACCCAAGGTGACACTTTCAAATGGGTTAGTTTATCTGTCCATCAGTCCAAATTACAAAGATAATCGATTTACAGTCGTTTGAAACTAAAAAGTGGATCCATTCTAACATGTTAACTGTTGAAAAAAAATGCTTCACATTTCTGCTTGATAAATGACAAAAGATAAACTGATTAGTGGAATTACTGATGCCTGTGTTTTGGATTTTTCCTCTCTGATGGATACAGGATACCTTGATACGTTTTCACTGATCTGACATCTTGCTCAGACCTGGCATCGCTTTACAGATATACTTTATGTAAATGCCCGGGCCTTCTGCCAGAAATCGGTAGGCGTGCTGACAGCAGTAGGTGTTCCAACAGACTGGATGTGATTGGCTGGTTGGGTTTAAATAGAAGCTGCGTGGTTAAAGTTAAGGTAAGCCCACATCTGTCAGCATGTCCCACGCTCTGGCTCCATGGTTGAGTTGCAGGCGCTACACCTTCCTTTGAAACTGCAGTAAAATGCGTTACATGTGCTATAACCACAGTAGAAGCGCTGGATTTGTACCACTCAACCATACATTAGGACAAGTGACAACATACAATATTAGCTACAAATATATTTATAACGTGTGCCATACAATCCCAGGTGGACGGACCATTTTGAAAAGGAAGGACAGAAAAATTCTGAAATTCACTGAAAACACCCAAAACCTTCATATACTGTACGACACACTTAGAATAAAATGGTCGATCACTTTGGTACGTTCACTGAATTTTCTCCTGTGGTTTAATTAAATGGTACATTCTTTCCCCAAGAGAGAGAGAGAAAGGTAACAGAGGTATAATCCACAGCAAGAAGAACAATTATCAAAAAGAATCCATGCAATAACTGCAAAGGGTGTCATGTTTATACCATGTGTTAAGGTGGTCAGTGTGTTCTTATACTCTGGGCAATGCACTCTTTAAATGCTGGCGGTATCTGTGTCAGCGTTCAAAGTTGAATCCGGTTTGTTTCATGCAGACTATTTTGCTAAAACATACAACTCAGCACTTCGATTTGCAACCGATATGAATCTGTGTGCATGCATATGCACTGAGCTGACAGATTGCATCCTGCCAAGAGAGCCAAGAGTCCCTTTCAGTGTTAGTGACAAATATCAGCAGATCAACTGATGACGAGCTGCACTAATTGCATGGACAGGACAACCTCATTAGATTTGCTGCTTTGGAAAACACGGCCAGCAGCCGCTGGACAATTGTGAAGTCAGCACTAACAAGTCCAGTAAAGGTGCTGCATTTTTAATACATAACACACAGACATTAATGGGCTTAATGAACGAACAAATAAATAATTCCTTTTATTAACGGCAGAAGATCAATGTGATTTGAACTGATTCACTGTATTCACACGATGTGAGTCAGGTTATTTGCTTGTTGAGTTATTTTTGGCATTTATAGATCATTTAAATTAAAGCCAGTACATAGGCTAGATAATATAGTTCTGTTTGTTTAAACAGAGCAAGAGGATGCTAAAACAATACTTTACCGTCATTACGGCATGTCTTACTGAAACTTTAAGTGGGGATATCAATTACCAAAATTCTTCAGTACAAATACAAACCGTGTGGGCTAAAACGCACAAGAAGCGTAATTCTCCTTGACAGTAATTCACTACAGGTTTGTGTCTGGTATGGTAGCCTCATTATGTTATGCAGGAATGAAGATCAGTAACTAGGACAGTATTAGAATGGCTAACAGGTCACTGAATTTGGCTTTTACAGTGAACAGTCGTCACCGGGGAGATCTCCCTTCAGGTTATGTGTTCCCGTTGGCTGAGAACTCAATACCCTCGTGGAAAGCCCCAACACATGGAAATGGGAATACCATTTAATTCATCACAGTTATTACAGTTTGTACTGTAAATTAAAACTGCAATTTATTCTCTTTAATACAAGAACAATATTTTGTTGTCGGTTTTTTTATGTCGCCTCATAAACAGAATTTTCTGCAGGAACATTGTTTTTTGTTTTTTTTTTTTTAAGAAGAAGCTGTAAAATGGTAAATATGTCTAAAGAGAAAACAAACACACTGTCTACACACAATTCTTTTTTCTAAAATAGAACAAATTTTCTGACGGAACAGTTCAGTAATCCTGGCTATGAATCCAACAAGACACTCAGTGCCTCCGTCCAGTATCGACAGCATAAATTAGTCATAAGTCTTTCAGTTAGATCTCGAGGCAGTCCAGCAATAACACACTGAGACAGTGTGTGGCCCGTTGTGACACTAAGTCAGCGTATCATTTCATAGACTTAGACTGTCTGCAGAGAACCGGTTCACAGTTTTCAGCAGTCATTTGCTGAACAACACATGACAGGAGCCATCAAAGACAAAAAGCAAGGCATCAAAAACTGATTACACACACGTTCAGCACACACACGAACAAGAGCACAAACACTCAGAGACAGGCATCCAATTAACAGAGAAAGAGCAAGCGTATGTGTCAGGGGATGATAAATGAGTGGAAATTAGATGGTGGACACTTAATGCAACATGAAGACGTGGGGGAAACCTTCATTCCAAGGTGACCCATTTCTTTCTTTGGCATTATTTAACTGACATCTTCCATCCTTCATCTTTTCACTCTATAGGATTAAATATGGAATGTGACAGAGGAAGGACACGGGAGAGAGGGATGCTGATGAGGACGACAGAGGGGCACGACACAGCTTCAATCAACTCCTCTCTTGCAGTCTGTGAAGGCTAAAGCAGAAGCACAAAAGCGGTGAATGTCCAAGAGTGAAGGGCCCAGTGTCTCTGAGTGGTGTCCAAGGACTCTGTATGACCGACATCTGGGTCTATGACCTTTGGTGCAACTCCACCCTCATCTCGGAGCAAAGGGAACTAAAGGGGTAAAGTGGGCTAGATTCAGAGCAACAACTACACAAGCTTGTTTTCTCTTTTTGTGGGGGAGGGGGAAAGCCCCTCTATTTTGCATCCTCCATTTTCTCCCATCACTTTTCTCTGGAGTCTGAAATCACCAGCCTGCTGTAGTCTGACATAATGCGCCCAGGACCATATCGAGACCTTCACCATCTCCAGAGAGATCAAAACACAAGTGTGAAAGACATCCAGTACCTGAGAAGTGGGGAGTAGTGGAGAGAGGAGGATTGTTCTGGCATTGGCATCATTTTCAGGCGGAGATGACACTGGTGGCAACAGTTCAAGCACAACGGACAATGACAAGACAGAGCATTGCATGAAAGAAAGCATTGATCTTAGAGCACCGCACTGATGTTGCAAACCACATGCCCCCCAGTGAGGGGTGGGGGTGTGTTGCTTTCTGTGTCTCACAAACAGACTTCTCCTTTTGCCTGAGTGCAGCCAGCATACACAAAGCTAAAGTTCACAGAAAACTTCTCAGAATCCATCAAATTCCAGGAGAAATTTCCTTCTGTTCAGAGAGGGGATGCTGCAAATCAGATGGACGAAGTGAAGATTGACCTCGTCAAGTCGGAATACGATGGGATGCTCTGACATGCTCCAGCAAGTTCCTTGTGGCTACTTCGATTGCTGCTGAGTGGGAGAGGACACTGCTGGGAGGAAGTGGTGGTGAGTTTAAGCCTGATATGACACCTGCACTCAGTTATCTTTAGTCCACACCAGAAGGGAACCAAACACCATGAAATATATATTTCTTGCAGCACTCTCAAACAACTTGCTTGTTTGGTTTTGAGACAATGATGAAAACAAAGATATGAAGAACTTCTTCCTTGTAACCTTCGGCTTAATAATAACCAGTTTATACAGTGTGTCCTCCCACTACAGTTTGAGGAAACTTTTGTCTTAAGATTTTATTGTGGTTTCAAACAGCCAAAGAAAAGCAAACTTTTGGACAATCTGTTCTTTGGGCAACTTAGTTGTTCACTAGGTTATACACATGGAAAATGTAAAAAGCTTGAGACAAAGTTCAAATACCGTTCTAATATTTTTAAAATCTCCAGTGTGGACAGGTGTGGGAGGAAGTGACTTCTGACACTGAAACACTTCTCAGTTGCACTTTGGTTGAAGCAACCTGAGCTTGTGTGCTCTGAACAGAATATATCTTCTCTGGTATTAGAAATGCTTTCACGCTTGTCTGCTGCTCACGGAGGGCTTTGTCAGGGAGTTTATTTAGGACTTCCAGTCATGTGTCAAAGAGTGCTGTGGCCGTAATGGATGTGATGAAAGCATGAATCAAAGTTTCGACAGTTGAGAAGGAAGATGGACAGATATGTTGTTTATCCCTTTGGGGAGATTCCAGATATGCGGCGGTTTACCTCTGAACAATGTCTGATTTTGTGCTAACGTCTCTCCAGGCCTCTTCCTCCCATCAGGAGAATGCACACATCCCCAGTGCTGATCTCTGCAGCCACCATGAGCAACATGACAGTGCTTGACACTGCTGACCCGTATGACCTTGACATGACCTCCTCTGAGGCCATCTACCCCATCAGCTTTCAGGTACTGCAATAGTCTCATATTTGTATCTTACATTGGCGCTGCATTCAAAACAACATGGACGATGTCACATTAAATGGCATTATTTCCACCGTGTCTTTATTTTTGACAGGTTTCTCTGACAGGCTTCCTGCTTTTGGAGATAGTTTTGGGTTTGAGCTCCAACCTCACTGTGCTGGTCCTCTACTGTATGAAGCAGAACCTCATCAGCTCCGTCTCCAACATCATCACCATGAACCTGCATGTCGTGGACGTGTTGGTGAGTCCTGACCTCAGCAGAACATCAGCACACAGACTGCAAAGTTTTACAAACCAATCCTGCTTTGAAATGTTCTAACTGGAAACATAACTGTGACAAGCAAGTATTCACTCTGTATTTGTTTCATTTATTCAAATCCTCCCTCTCATATTCGTACACGAGGGTATTCTGAGCTTCAGTGCTGCTTGCTAGTGAAGCTAGTGAAACCTCGCTACTCGTTCTAAGGTCAACAAGACTGGCACTGACTCTGCTGCGATTTAGTGTGTTCGACACTCCTGCTAGCAGCACTGTCTGGGGCCATTCCTAAAAGGCACTTCACAGCATTATGGTTTTACTACATGAATATAATCCTGACATATGTTATGTCTTTAAATATAAATATCAAGTTTTCAAATCAGGCTTTCAAAAAGCTGTGAAATGAATGAAGCAAGAAAAACACAACATGAAAGCATGTCTTGTAGTTTTGTCCCGACTAGATGAAAGCAAACGGAGTGCATTTGGGATGTGACCTGAATTCCTGTCTGTTTCCAGGTGTGTGTTTGCTGCATCCCACTGACAGCTGTGGTTGTGCTACTGCCGTTGGAGGCGGACACAGCTATGATCTGCTGTTTCCACGAGGCTTGTGTCTCGTTTGCAAGTGTAGCTACTGCAGCTAACGTCCTGGCCATCACTGTGGACCGCTACGACATCTCAGTAAGGCCGGCCAACCGGGTGCTCACCATGGGCCGGGCCGTGGCTCTGCTGGGATCCATTTGGGCTTTATCCTTTTGCAGTTTCCTGGTTCCATTCATGGAAGTAGGTTTCTTCATCAGTTCTGGTTCGGATCTCGTGAACCAGACTGCAGTAATAACAGTGGCTCATACAAATGAGTACTACACGGAGCTGGGTTTGTACTATCACCTGCTGGCACAGATTCCTATATTTTTTTTCACGGCTGTGGTAATGCTGGTGACTTACTACAAGATTCTTCAGGCGCTCAACATACGCATTGGAACACGCTTTCAGCACAACTTGCCTAAAAAGAAGCAAAAGAGCAAAAACACCATCTCCCTGAGCACTGCAACACAAGCAGAGTCAACCGACGCGTCACAGAGCAGCACGGGAGTGAGGGCAGGCGGAAATGCGACTTTGGGCATGAGGGCATCGGTGTCCGTCATTATCGCCCTCAGACGAGCGATGAAGCGTCATCGGGAGAGACGGGAGAGACAGAAACGAGTTTTCAGGATGTCTCTTCTCATCATTTCCACGTTCCTACTTTGCTGGACTCCAATCACGGTGCTCAACACCATCATCCTCAGCACTGGGCCCAGTGACTTGACTGTGCGCCTCCGTCTGGGCTTCCTGGTGATGGCCTATGGAACCACCATCTTTCACCCGCTCCTTTACGCTTTCACTCGGCAGAAGTTTCAAAAGGTTTTGAAGAGCAAGATGAAGAAGAGGGTGGTGTCTGTAGTTGAAGCTGACCCTACACCAAACAATGTAGTCATTCATAATTCATGGATTGACCCCAGGAGGAATAAGAAGGTCACTTTCGAGGACACGGAAGCCAGGCAGAAATGTCTATGTTCACAGGATGCAGAGTGATTTGATTAACTCAAATGTAAATATGTCAAATATGTGGTCTACACTACAGTAAAGTAAGTTATTGGAGTATTGTTTATGCAGTTAGAGAAGTGGAAAGCATTTGAAAAGAAAAATAGAAGAAAAATTATGCCTAAACGAGCTAAGAGGCTGCTCATAAAACACTGAAGCATTTAAATCTTGGGGAACTTAATAAAGGGATGCTAAAATGAGAAGAGAACATTTCCTAAGAACAATGGAATGACGATGTAAAGAAGAGGGTTTCCTTGGTGCAGACCTCACATGTGAAAAGGGAAACTACCAGCAGCTCAACGTGTGTTTTCAAGGACTGCAGAAAAAACATATTTTCCTCAGTATGAAAAAAAAAAGTCTCAAAATAGGTGTCGCAGACACATGAAGAGGGTAATTTATAGCTATTTATTAAGGAACGTTGTGGAGTACTACCAAGGACAATTCAGACATAACTCTGTATCTAAGCAGCAGTGTGTGCTGTTTGCTGGTTAATGGGATGATGTCTATGTACAGTCAGAGAACACCTTGATATTGTTTGTCACCATTTGTAATAAACAACCAAAGGCACAACAGTTGTCGGTATCCCTCTGCTCTACTGGTCCTCCAAGTGGAACTGGAGACATGGACAGGGTCAGAAATTGGTATGTGAAATGTAGTTTAGTTTTTCTTCTCCACTTCCCTCAGAGACGTAACTTTTATCTGTTCTCTGTTTACATGTGATGAAGAATTGGAGCTCAGCCTTTAAAGCTATTGGAGCTTTTCTTCTTTTGCAAGAAAACGATGACTGATTGAAATGTAAGGAAAATAATCCATGTGCAATTGATTTCAATTTCATATTCTGAAACGAAAACCAGAGAATGAAAACCGTGGCTTCTTTCATTCTCTGTTTTGAAAGAAAAATCAAAAAATGGAAAGAAAAAAAAAACAAAGAAAAGATCCAAAGCATTATCAGACACAAAAAGGATTTAAAGGCACAGGCTTGTAATTCAGTTTCGTCACTTGAAAAATTCAATTTTCTTGAAAGCAATTTTCCCAACAGTTAAACAGCAGCGAGGTGCATTCGTTTTATGGACCCTGACGGGCCGTCAGCAGACACACCTGTAACTACCTCTCATTGAGCAGCAAGAGGCTCCACTTGGTGGCAGAAAGTAGACCTGATCCCAAATGCATCTTCTGATGTGCATGTCCCTCATCTTCTGCCTCATCAGATCATGTGTTTTAAATGAATTAAATTACAAACAGCACCGAACCGATAATAAATAATCATTAACACCCCTACTGCTAAAAATAACGATCCCCAGGACAAAAAGGATTCACTTGTAACCAAAATGTGCATAACAGTAGACATATTAACAGAATATAGGGAACAGTTTATGAAATGGTATCTAATATAATAAATATAATAATCCTCATGAGAGGTTCCTAAAAAAATCCATATATGTATAATGCTTATTTTATTTCATTACAGCACCACGGTATCAGATATACGTACAGAGTTCATGTGTAGAAGCTATAATGCCCCATTTATGTTGTAGTGCACTTATAGTCATTGTGCTTCAGTTTCCTGCACTAAGGCATAGAACATAATGAACATAAGAGTTGCTGCCCCCCTTTTGCCACATGAGCAAGAACACCCAGAAGTGTGAATTTCTGTCAGGAGTAAACAAAGGCAACGTACACACACCACACGATACTGTAGTGCGAAGACCACGGCCGGACGGAAAAACGCCTAACGATGTATTCAATGTCTGTGTATATTGCAGAATATCAAGTAAAGGAAGAAAAAAAAAAGAACTGTCTGACTCTTTATTCAAATGTGCAACACCAACGTGGCCACAGATCCAACTGACGGCCAGCAGCCTGATAGCTCTGTGATCATAGGCAATGAAATCTAAAGGTCCAACCATTAAAAAGCATCAGTCCCAGACCACAGAACAGGTACATCGCATGTAACATTTCTAAGCTTTTCATCACGACAGAACGAAATTTTAAATAAGGTAAGCAATTTACTGCCATGCTGACAACAGAGTAGCTGGTCTAGAGGTAAACGGAGCACACCTGGGTCTCACCTGTCAGAGTGCACACTGAACCACCAACAGCAACGAGCACCAGTTCCTCTTTTGATACCAGAGATCATTTAAAATTGCATAATTTTGAATACAGCAGTAAAAGAAACATCAGTTTTACGTTTATATATTTTATATTTATATATCTCCCAACCCATGTAAACCTCAATTAAAAAAATAAATTTAAGTAGCAAAGCCCAGCTGACAAATTTTTGGAATTGCTGAAAGACAACCCAGTGGTACAGCAGAGAGCAGAAGCAGACGATGTATCACCTCTAAGAGCTTGTTGCTGTGCTGGGGAACACTGAGGACGCTGACCCCATTTCAAAGCTCTTTGCAGCCGGTGGAATTTGTGTGACCCAGCATGTGTTTATGCATGTGTGCGTGCTGTGTGAGAAGTGGTCACAGGCTGCTGAAAGCACTTCTCTTTGGGAACCTGCTCAGTCTCGCTTAATGCCTTGTGATAACCAAGAGTAGTGTGGCACAAAGATAACCGACGGCAGTGACAAGAAACGCATCAATATCACTTTTCCTCTGCTGACACCAGAAGGTCACACAGTCCTCTGAACCTGCCCAGCTACTGTTACACACAGCGATCCTCACTGAAACTATGACAGCAATCCTATGATGGAGAGCTGCTGTCAAAGAGCACCGGGGTCACACTGGGTGTCGGTGGTGGGACCCCATCAGAAAGGATCTTAAGGTATGCATCATTCTGTCCTTGATGTTATACGTTTCCATGCTGCAGCAGGACATTCAACAGTGAGGCGTCACTCACATGGATCTTCAAACTCACTGCTTGTCACAGCTGTAACACCCCTTAACCCACACCTGTCTCCTGATGGAACAAAATGATTAAGTGTTCCTGGACATAGCAAGCACCTGTTTAATGGGATCCTTAAATAAGCTGTCCATCTTTATGTATAAAACGTTGAAGAATATCAAAAAAAATGATTTGCCACAATCCACAAACAAATCCAACTCAAAGCACATGAACGCTTGCAACCAAACCTTTGAACAACACTCCACAAACAGAAGTGGATGCATTCGTCAGGTTGAAGCCAACGGTACTGGCCTGGAAGTCCACCTCACTGAACAAGCCCTCCTTGTAAAAGCGAGGGCAGCAGCATTCAGCTCACAAGCTCACACAAACAGTTTCATGCTGAGCTGGTTGCCAGCCAGCAAAAGCAAACGAGTGGCCAGTGAAGAGAGTGGAATGTGAAAGTATGACACCTACTCCAGACGTGTTTTTCTTTTTTTTTTTTTTTTAGAAACTGAAGAAATAAACCAGAGCTAATTCAATTCAATATTATTTATATAGTGTGAAATCATAATAAATCATCTCTAAGCACTTCACACACTCAGGTCAAACCTTAGAACCCTACAGAGTCGTAACTATGAGTGGCACTTTGTAACAGTGGGGACCACAAAACTGCCTTTTAACAGGAAGAAACCTGCGACAGAACCATACATAGGATGGGCAGGCGTCCACCTTAACTGGTTGGCTGACAGGAGTTAACACACCACACAATTCTCAACAAGTGGCCAGAGAACAGACTGACGATGTGTGACTGCATGAAGAACCATGCACATGATGTGTGATATGAAGGTTGGTTCTCTGAGGTTCTTTTGGAACTGCATAACAAAGACAAGCCCCTATTTAACTTTTGGAAACATACGGGAAACTTTTATGTGTGTTTAGTAATAATTTAAAAAGAGCTTTGACCCCTACAGCGGTGCTTAAAAAGTTTGTTAACCCATCAGAAATGTCTGTATTTCTGCATAAATATAACTTCAAATTTCATCAGATTTTAACACAAATCCTGAAAATTGATAAAGAGAACCCAATTAAACAAATGAGACAGAATTACTATCTATTGATTTATTGAGGAAAATAATCTAACATTATATATCTGTGATAGATAAAAGTATGTCAACCTTTTCTCTCAGTACTGGGTACAAACCCCCTCATTCAGCAACACACTCAAACCTTTCTGGTAGCTTTTGATCAGTCCTGCACATCAGCTGCAAGAGATTTTAGCCCACTCCTTGGTACAGACAAGCTTCAGCTCTGGGATGTTGGTCAGTTTTGCTCACACAAACTGCTGTACTTGCTTGCATGCAGTATTTTTCTTTCTTCCAACATAATGCTTCTCATCCAAACCATAAAGTTCTGTGTTGGTGTCATCCATTTCCCAAAGTATTTTGCCGTGTCCCCATGATCTTTAGCAAATGACACCTGAACCACACTGTCCTTCTTAGGAGAGCAGTGTTTTTCCTTATTCCCCTTCCAGGCACACCTTTGTTGTTGTGTGTTCTTGTCATGGTGGATCCATTAGCATTAGCATTAGCATTAGCATTAGACAATGAAAGAGAGGCCTTCAGCTGCTCAGTGACCCTTGGTTTTTTTGTGACATGCCTCGCCTTTAATGTGATCTATTTGGGTCAAACATGCCAAAGGAGGGCAACAATGATCTTGAATTCCCTCCATTTGCACATAATCTATCTGACTGTGGATTAGTGGAGTCCAAAGTCTTTAGAGGTGGCATTGTAACCTCTTCCAGCCTGATGACGTTCAGCAACTCCTTTTCTGATGTTCCACGAAATCTCCTTGACACGTCCACAAGCATTTGTTGTAAGGATCAGACTTGAATAGATCTCTGTTCTTTAAGTAAAACAGAGGCCCCACTCACACCTGAGTGGTCCCAATGACTCTAATGTCCTCTTCAAACAAACTGCTCATTCTTGAGGTTCACATACTTTTGCCACAAACAGATATGTAACGGTAGATAATTGTCCTTAAAAACTAATTGACCAAGTATAACATTTTTGTCTGATTTCTTTAACTGGATTCTCACCGTCTGCTTTTAAGATTTATCTAAAAATCTAATTATGTCACATTTATGCTGAACTATAAAAAAAATC